TTCTTTGACTTCTTATGTTTGCGGGATTCGTGAGTAGATGATTTTACCTGGGGAGATGTTTTTTTCCCATTGGTAATATCTTGCTGATCACTACTAATAAGAGTTAAAAAAAAACAAATAAAAAAAAAAAACAGAATCTTTTATGTAGAAAAGGTACACATAAACATTTTAATATTCTGCATTCTAGATAAGAAATTGTTAACATTTGAATTTTAAATCAATTTTGACAAAGGGTTACTATGAGTCTTATACACTTACATTGAGTATTTGTTTCATCTTTAAAATGAAGATAAAAATTCTAATATTGTACCATATTGTACAGAATAGTTAAACACCAGTCTCCCCTTATCCATGGTTTCATTTTCTGTGGGTTGTTGGCCAATCACAGGGCAAAAATACTAAATGGAAAATTTCAGAAATAAATATTCACAAGTTTTCAATTGCATGCCATTCTAAGTAGTATGATGAAATTCCTCACAGTCCCTCTTTGTCCCACCTGGTATGCAAATCACCTTGTCCAGCTACCCAACCCTTAGTCATTTAGAAGTCATCTGGGTTATCAGCTCTATCATGGTACAGCAGTGTTTATGTTCAAGTAAACCTTATTTTACTTATCAGTGGCCCAAAGCACCAGAGTAGTGATGCTGGCAGTTCAGATATACCAAAGAGAAGCCATAAAATGCTTCCTTTAAGTGAAAAGATAAAAGTTTGTTACAGGTACGTATTATGCACAGGAAAAAAAAAAAGTAATATAGTGCTTGGGGTTCAGTACTAATCTGAGATTTCAGGCATTCACTGCAGGTCTTAGAACACATCTACCATACATAGGAAAGGACTATTATATATAAAAATCAAAATATTTACAAATATGCCAAATATAAATCAAAAACAGACAAAATAGGGATTGCCTCCCAACCAAATCTTTTTTCCTTTTTTTTTTTTTTTTTTTTGTTGTGGGGGCAGGAAATAAGGGCTTTCTATGTTGACCAGGCTGGTCTCACTTCCTGGGCTCAAGTGATCCTACTGCCTCAAACATCGGAATAGCTAGGACTAAAAGTATAAACCACCACACCTAGTTCTAGCTACATTTTCAGTGGCAAATATTTTTAAAAATTAGGAAGGTAATTTATAATATAGACTTTAATGCTACCTTAATTTTCAACTTTTTTTTCAGTAAACCTAATTACCTTACCTGTCTGTTTCAAACTCTTCAGGGTAYAATTCTTTATAACCACTGTGACCCCATCTGTAAGGTGACACATTATATTGTTAAAGCAATGCATACATTTTGGGAAATTAAAAAGATTAACTTAGGCCATATATACACATTCATACACATGGGACAAAGAAAACAGACATATAGTACAGCCATATCCTTATTATAGCTCAGTAACAGCTACATTTTCTGTATTGTACACTATCATTTCAGACACAAAGGATTCCTCTATCCATTTGTAAAAGAATTATCCATTCTTTTTTAAGATACTGCTCTTTAGGTAAAAAGCACTTTTCCAAAAATAATGTCATTGGGGCAATTATTTTCTTAAATAACAGTAATTTAAAAATATTTATTGAAATATAATTCACATACTGAGAAATTTGCCCTTTCAAAATGTGGTGCCTCTAACCCATGTCAACTATCAATCTGCTATCAGTCTTTACTCATTTGCCTATCTTGGACATACCATGTAAAAATAAATCATGTCACTTTTTGAGTCTGGCTTTTCTTTCATCTTGCATAAGATTTAAGGTTCTTCTATGTTGTAGTACATATCAGTAATTCATTCCTCTTACTGCCAAAAAAAAAATCCCCTTGTACAGATATCCCACATTTTGTTTATCAATTCATCAGGAAATATTTGGGTTTCTACTTTTTTGGCAATTATGAACAAAGCTGCTATAAACACCTGTGACCAGGTTTTTGTTAGGTCACTAATTCTCAAGTACATATTCTCAGGCCAAATACCATTAAAGATCATAAAAAAATTAATCACAAACCTGTCTGGCATGTTAGCTTCATAATCATATAGCTTCTTATTCCAGGATTTAGCTTTCAGAAAATCATCTTCCAGAGTCCCAGCAATTTCATTCTTTGGCCTCCAGTAGTCTCTTTGACTTTCTTCATCAAAACCATCACTACGCATCCGACTACAGAAGAAAACAGAACTTTTAGACTTCAAAACAATCTGTAAGGTTACTTTATGAAGTATCATGCATAAAACAGAACAGGCTGAGAGGAGGAAAAAAACAACCAAATATTGTTTAAAAAATAAAAATAACATGGATTAGAAATTATCTGTTCATTTCTGCTAATAGTTTCATCTGAAATGTCCTCCAAAGACCCATGAGTTGAGGCTTGATCCCCAGAGTGACACTATTGGGAGGTAATGGAACCTTTAAGAGATGAGGCCTAGTAGAAGGTCTTTAGATCATTGGTGGGTGTGCCCTCAAGGAGAATAAGGGAAATCAGTCCTTCCTATTCTCTCCTTTTCTGCTTCCTGCACATGAAGTGAGCAATTTTGCTACACTATGCATTCTGGACATGACAAGCTGCCTCACCTCAGGCACAAAGCAATAGCACCAATCTACTATGAAACCTCCAAAACTATAAGCCAAAATAAACCTTTTCTCTTTAGAAATTAATCATCTCAGGTATGTTGTTATTGTGATAAAGCTAACACAACTCTATTTATTTGTAAAGGCCAACAACAAATCTTAGGGCTGGGGTTGTGGCTCAGAATTGAATCCAGTGGCTCACAACCATTCAGCACCACATAAAAATAAATAAATAAATAAATAAAAAGGTTCATCCACAAAATATATATATATATATATATATATATATGTGTGTGTGTGTTTATATATATACATATAAACAATAACAAATCTTGACTGTTACTACTCCCATTATAGAGTATAGATGAAATCATTTTTGGACTGTGTCATGCTGTAGGCTCACTCACTAATTCTTCACCAGGAGGGCATGCAAAGTGAGAAGCACAGCAAAATCACAGTTGGGAATATTTTACTCTAGAAGTTTCTGAAACACACCTCCCACTCTTGCAAATCAGCAACTTGCTGTAATAAGGCCACAGTAACAATGGGAATAAGGACTACTCCATGGTAATATTGGGGCAGGAAAAATGTTGATAACCACTGATCTGGCCTCTGCTTACAATCTCCACTAACCAGCTACTAAGCCACCTCATGAGTTATTAAAAATGTTTAAGGCTCTCCTACATGCCAGGCACTACTGTTCTAGCTGGTAGAAACAGAACAGCAAATGACATTATCAGAATTCTTGTCCCTAAAAAAGATTGTTTTAAAATTTATTCACTTTCAGTTGCAGCAAATCTAGAGGCTGAGACAGAAGGACCTCAACTTAGCAAGGTCCTAAGCAACTTCATGAGACCCTGTATCAAAATAAAAAAGGGACAGGGATGTAGCTCAGTGGTAAAGTGCCCCTGGGTTCAATCCCCAGTACTAAAWAAAAAAAAAAAAAAAAGATTTACCATTCATTCACCATGACAGCATTAGGAGAAGTCTACTCTAAGAGAAATGGTTTTATTTCTGGATTGCCACTTGGAATTAACCAGTACGAAATAAATCATTACCTGTACTAACTCTACTTCTGAATTCTCAAAGGACCACCTTCAGAAAAGAAAAAAAAAAAAAAACAAAACCCTGGCAGATATTTATTTATATTGTGACTGTCTTTTTACCATGTACATCCTAAATACTTCTTACTTGAAGCTATTCACACATAGGTAATCATACACTGAAGTCCACATACTCCATAGGCATACATACTCTCCTTAAATATCTCATTATTAACTGCTAATTTCCACCCCCCAAAAAAAAGCTTTAGTAATCAGAATTATGACTTTATATTCATTTCTCTTAAACATAGCTTCTACACTTATAGGCATATGAGTGAAGCCTAAGAGATGTTCCAAGTTCCTCAGACATTCCTATACCTCTACAGATAAAAGAAAACTAAGCTTGTATAATCCTTCACATTCACACTCAAAATTATTACAAAGGAAATATGGAAAGCTATTGATCTGGCAAAGACAGTAAGTAGACGGAGCAAAGAAAAAGGCTGAAAGAATGAAAAGTTAAAGGGAAATAGAATGATTGATTAATTAAATGACCAAAAGATTCCAATAGAAAACTGTAAGTTTAAAAACTATTAGACAAGGTCAGAATCTACGACCCTAAGTATTTACAATTGTCCACAGCCGAATTTTTTTTTAAGTTTTCCATTGCAAATAAGTATTGCTGGGCATAGTGGCACATGACTATAACCCAAGTGATTCAGGAGGCTTAGGCAAAAAGATCACAAGTTTGAGATCAGCTTTGGCAACTTAGTGAGACCTTTCTCAAATAAAAGATACAAAGGGTTGGGGATTTAGTTCAGAGGTAGAATGCCCACTGATATGGTTCAAGCCCCAGTACCACAAAATAAACGTGAATAAATTAAATTAAAAGGATTGGTATTCCAGCAATTCAGGACACAGAGGCAGGAGGATTTCCAGTCCAAGCCCAGCCTTGGCAACTTAGCAAGACCCTGCCTCAAAAAAAAAAAAAAAAAAAATGCTGGGACTGTAGCTCAGCTGTAGGAGTAAGAAATTTTAGAATAAGTACTAGCATGTGTGAGGCCCTCAATTCAATCCTCAGCACTGCAAAAAAAAAAAAAAAAAAAAAAAAAAAAGGCAAATAAATACAAAGTGTCTAGCATATGGATCATAGTCATTATCTTTATGTTTGGGTCTAGATTTGTGAAAAAGGGAAGGCTTAATATAACTCACATGACTGAATTTATCTATCTTAACATATCAAAATATTTTTAAGCAAAAGTTGATAATTATTACGAAGATGAGAAATATTCTGGTTCTCAGAGCTGCAACTTCACCTTGAACTGCTGGGTAACATTTTCCTTTTCGTCCCCTGGTAAGCATCCTCCATCTGTTTCTCTAGTTCTCTTATTTTCCACATATCTGACTCCTCCTGAATCTAGATTTATTTTTAAAAGGAAAGAAACAAAAATAAGTCACTAAAAATAACACTTTACATTGCAGAAAAGTATCTGAAAATACTGTCTGCACTAATTACAGGTTACAGACTGGACTATGATCAGGCACCTAGAAAATAAATTCTGGCTTCTCTAGAAAGTGGCTGAACAATTTAATAGATGAAATCTCAAGTATGTAGAATTCTACAGCAACAGAACTTTTTAACCCCTGCATAATCAGACTTACTACCCTACCAATTTTACAATTGTGCTGCAATTAACAAATAACAACAATTTCTAAGATACAACATAATTTTAACTACATAATCTCAATTACTCGTAAGCAACTTTATGAGGAAAACAAAGCAGGTATCATTATTACATTTTACTGAGAAAAAACAAAAGCTCAGAGAAAGTAAAAAAAAAAAAAAAACCTAAAATTTCTAAGCCAAGACTCTTTTGACATTATAATTCTTGTCAAAAACAAAAACAGTATGGTTGCTAGAGAATTTCCTAGAAAGCAAAGTACAACTACCCACAAACAAGAACACATTTTATTTCTAATTTCTCCTGCATAATTGTTTTAAATCTGTGCTAGGTTTATCATTTTTAGCTACCACTCTCAAATCTTAAGTCCCCCATACAACTAGAAGTAGGTTAACACAATTGCACATCAGCATAAGTAGCAGTTGTAACATCACCCACAATTAAAAACTTAAGTGATCTGATAGTGATATTATTTATGATAAAACCAATGGTACAATTTACTGAAGAACACTAAACTAAGGGTCTTGGCCCCTCCTTTTCATTATATGTACTCTCCTAGGTGACCTTATCTACCTACTCTTATGACCTCTATCACTTATCTACATATCAATTTTCATTTATGTCCATTCCCAACTTTTCTCCTTTCTTCCAAATTCAAACTTTCAATTGTAAGCCTCACAATATAAAATGGTCAAAACCAAACTAAATAAAGTTCTCATCATATTTATCTTTCATTGTTATTGTTCCCTGTTTTAATTAATGGGCTCATCATTATCATCTACCAAGTCACACACACTGATTCCACTCTTATCACTATCATCCCATCAGTCTCCAAGACTTTTGGACTGTATCTCCTAAATTGCTCTTCTGATCCCTACAGTCACTGCTTTCATTCAAACCCTCATCATCTCTCACCTGGAACACTATATTCATTTCCTCAATGATCCCTCTACTGTTTCTCYCATCTGATTCATTCCCTACCCAGTTAATAAATCATCTTTCTAAAATACAAATATAATCGTATCATGCCCTGCTGAAAATATTTGATGGCTTTTTTATTGCTTTGAGGTAAAAGTCTAATTTCTAAACATCACAAACTAACCCTAATTTGCTATTCAGATCTTATCTAATACTATATTCCTTATTTTCTAGATGCACACCAAGTGATTCATGCCTTTTCTTTCTTTTTTTGGTGGTTCTGGGCATTGAACCCAGGGCTTTGCACATGCTAGGAAAGTACTCTAGTACTGAGCTACGGCTGCAGCCCATGCCTTATTGTTTCCATAGATGATACTCTGTTCAGAATGATCTTTTATATCAAATAAAATTATAGCAATTCATCAAGAACCAGTTAAAATATCAGCAGTTCAAATACATTCATTCTGCAGGAACTTTTCTAATTTCCCAAGGCAGAGTTCAATATTCCTTCTTCAGTGCTCTAACATACTTTGTAACTGTCTCTACTAAATAGTACTTACCAAACTGTACTGTAATTATCTATTGATTCATACTGGTACTTCCCAACTGTACCAGAATAATGCTTAGTATACTAAATGGGCTAAGAGTTGAGCAATGACTGGGATGTACCTCCCACCTTATTGTGAGCATCTGTATGCCGGATGACATTCCTCAGGAGGACTTTCCCCAATGGAACCCGAGACATTCTTCAATCTGAAATGAATAAATAAATAACACTTAATAATCTCTTTGATTGTCTCATCTTTTGTTAAATTTTATAAAGAAGTATGAGGTAAAGGAAAGATCACTGAACTAGAAGTCAAAGGTCCTGAGGAATAGTTTTTCCTTCACCATTAAAAGAAAGAAATATCTGATCACAATTAACATAAAGATGTAAAGAAATAATGCACATTAAAGTCCTTTAAAACTAAAATTAAGTGCTTTCATAGGCTCAGATTTATTTAATCTTCACAACTCTACGCTTTAATAAGGCAAATAGCTGTCCCTCAGTATCTACAGGGGATTGGTTCCAGTACCCTGAAGATATCAAAATCCAAAGATGCTCAAGTCTCTTAATACAAAATGGGGTAGTATTTACATTTAGCCTATGTACATCCTTCTGTATACTTTAAATCATCTCTAGATTACTTATAACACCTAATACAATGCAACGTAAATAGTTTCTAAAGTGTATTCTTTAGGCAATAACAACAAGAAAAACATCTGTACAGGTTCAGTACAGAGGCAATTTTTTCTCAATATTTTCAATTGGCTGTTGGTTGAACCCGAAAACGCAAAGATGCGGAACATAGGATACCGAAGGGCCGACTGCATCTCCATTCCTATTTTGTAGATGAAGTTCCCTTAAAAAGTCGTAACTTGCCCCAGGCCTCATAATCCCAGGCAAACGATGTGTGTCAATGTCCAGTTTAGAAATCAAATCTCGAATCCCAAAATTAGTTTGCGATGAAGCAAATACCTAGATTTAAGAGTGTCAGAAACCACAAAAGTCAACAGTAACAAAAACTGACGCCTAAAAACATCAAATGCAAAGATGGGTTTAATTTCTTAATTCGGGGCCTTTTATTTCCTATTCTGTATGGAAGTTTCCAAAAACTAGATGACAAATCTATGCACATGTGCAGCTAGCAGGGGCTTTGTGTAACCACCCCAACGCTCACTCACCCCTCAATCCTGAGGAAATCAGGCATCTTGTTAGTGTGAGACGAAGAACCACTCCATTACAAGATCTCCTCCGACCCAGGAAGCCAAGGAGTCAGGGCTCAATGGCAGCTCTGCAGCTTCACCCGAGTCCTTCGTGAAACGTAGCCTTCCCACCGGTTATTCTGCCCTCACCCGTGGCCCAGGCCACGGCTGCCTTCCCCCAGCCCAGATCTCTCTCCCGGACTGAGACCAGACGGAGCGCCGGCACGGAATCCGGACCGCCGGGCTGACCCGAGCATTCCCCGCTCACACTTTGCTGGGATAGCCCCTCGGAGTAGGGTTTCACTCCCCAGAAAGGATGAAGACGTTCGGGATGGGTACGACCTTCCGTTGGGCCCCAAAAGTGTCTAGGGTGCTTGAAGTGGGGGTTGAGGTTTCCAAATGGAAAACAGAGAAAATACCCCCATCTTTGTCACCGGGGTCCCTGTCCCCCAGCGGCCTTGGAGCTCCCGGTGTTTTTCCCTCCAAACGCCCGCCCCACACAAATACACACAAACACACCCATACCGTGCGCCGCAGCCTCGCGTGGCGGGGGTGGGGGGAGGAAGCGATCTGGGAGAAAAAGGAGGAGGCTTCCCTTCCAGGCCGGAAGTCGTGCTCGCGAGAAATCTTTCCTTCCTATCCGAGACCCAAGACTCCCTCTGGGAGGGTTTCCTGGGCACTCTAGGGGCCGACGCCTACGGAAAGGAAGCAGGCGCTTTCTTGGAAGAGAACACCGGTCGGGTCCAGCTGAAGTGCAAGCCCGGCACCACGAGGGGAACATTCCGGAACTGCGTGTAGAGACCTTCTCTGGCTGGAGCTTCCCGGGCTTAATTACAAGTTGTACCATCTGGTTACCCTGGTAACAGGCGTCGCGGTTAGTCTAGGAACCGAGAGAAGAGGTGGGTTCCCAAGCTTTTGGAATGATTGTTCGTTGGGTTTGGTTGTCTATTTAATCTAACCCTAATGTAGTATTCAAAGACTCAAAGCCTCCTTTTTTCCTCATTCTGTGGACTCTATGAGACACCTCTCCAGTAGGAAGAGGGTAGGGGGACCAGGAGGGTTMTCTCAAAAGATAGAAATATTATTACTCTTCTGTAATGTTTACCAAGTGTTCCAGCTTCTGTATTTTAAGGAGCTAATTATTTAATCCTGACATTAATTGTCAGAGATAGGAGTTATCTTCATTTTGAGTAGAACAGAGACATATTTACATTTCTTATTCAAGGTCACATAGCTAGCAGGAGATAGAATTTAGAATCTATGCATACTGGCTCAGAGTCCTTGATGTTAACTACTAAACTACACTGAGGATTAAGAAGATCTCATGTGGACCTTACCCCACACACAAACTTGTCTATTTCAGTACTGGGGAGGCTCCAGTCAACCAATATTCAGGTATTGGAATCACCTAGATCACCAGAAATCCCAGACAGAAGATGACTGCTATGCTCACTTAGGGTTTGTGAAGGTCTAGGTAGAGGTAAGGCCTTATCTGAGAGGTCAACTTAAGAATTTAGGAAGGGATGTAGAATAAGGAAATGATAAAGTCGTGCTGGGCCACAATCTTTTAGACACAGGTGTTAAGGTTAGCTTACCTTAACTTCACCAAAAAAAATTCCTGATGAGTTCCCCCTCCCCTAATAAAAATAAATGTCTGGGGCTGGGGATGTGGCTCAAGCGATAGCGCGCTCTCCTGGCATGCGTGCGGCCCGGGTTCGACCCTCAGCACCACATACCAACAAAGATGTTGTGTCCGCCGAGAACTAAAAAATAAATATTAAAAATTCTCTCTCTCTCTCCTCTCTCACTCTCTCTTAAAATAAATAAATAAATAAATAAATAAATAAATAAATATCAATAGTTAACACAGACAGTTTTTTCTTTAAGTTATCTTTCCACAGGCTTTAGAGGCCTATTTTACTATCAATCATGAAGACATCCTCAAAAGGTCTACTCACCCAGCTTACTCAGTTCTGGAACCTTCTAGATGATCTGGCTGAAAATAACCCTGAGGGCTATAAAAACTTTATTGAACAAGAGCTGAAGGAGGGAAAACAGCTATGTGCTGGCCCAGAACCACAGTTCTGTGTACAGACCAGGATCCTGGTATGTATGTAGAGTTAGTGCTAGGGATGGGGAGGTCTTGAATGAATGAATGATCCTGGAATAACCAAAGAATGAATGCCTTACCCTTAGCAATTGTTATTTTCATACAAGAAAACTTGATGAAATCTGCCTTTTTAAATAGAAAATGGAACATAGCGTGGAAGATTGTGTTGAAGGAGTAAGAATGGGAAATTCATATTGATATGTTTTGGAAACCTCAAAATGAGTCACTTTTTCTACTAGAAGGAAAAGGTGATGTAGTGATTTAATAGAGAATTGTAAAGTTGAATCTTTTTCAAATAAAGAACTTATTTAAGATATAAAGTGGTGAAACAGGGTCAAATGCACCTAGATAAATTCTCCCTTCTGCTGTCAGGTGTTTTTTTGGGAGGAAACAGCAGCTAGATTCTTGCTGAAAAAGTCAAGAGCTTTGGGAAAATCAAGTATAATTTATCAAATATGGTTTTAATACATGGAATGACTTAGTGCCTAAAATTCCCCCTCTTCCAGCTTTATGATGAGTTGCTTTGAGGATATTATCAAAACCTAAGTTAAGAAAATTAAATTTTAAGGTTTTGAGACATCAAAATTATTTGCTTTCCAGAAACCAAAAGAAAAAATGCTTTTTATCAACCTTTGTCAGTGGAAAAGGATCCCTGCTCCCAAATCACTCACTCATCCAGTACCTCTAATTGTTGGCAGACCAGAAGATATCTCTGAGACATCAGGTACAATGGGTTAAAGGAGAGAAAACACATTTTWAAAATTTTACTGGGAATTAGCATGGGATCATAGTTTACTTGGTAAAGGCATTTCAAGTAAAATATTTTTTTGATCATAATTAATGTCAGGGCTGGGGTTGTTGCTCAGCGGTAGAGCGCTCGTCTAACATGTGCGAGGCCCTGGGTTCGATTCTCAGCACCACATATAAATAAATAAACAAAATAAAGGTGTTGTGTACAACTAAAAAAAATAAATAAATATTAAAAAATAACATAATTAATGACAAATGAATTATCATGCAAATTTAACACTGTTCAAATTTCCTAATAATATGAGCCACTTTTAACCCATATGAAGATGCTAAGCAATGCCTTCATTGGAATTTTGTGTATATAATGCTATTGTGATTGCATCTGAAAAATACAGACTTTATTGGGAATATAGTTTAATATATAACCTGAACTATCATGAGAGAAAGAATTTATCTTCACTTTATACCCTCTGAATTACACACAGATACTTACACAGTCATCGATGTTGCCTACAACCCTGATATTCTCCAGACAGCAGAAAAGGACCAAGTGAAAAAAGATCAGTTAGTAAAGATGACTATGAAATGCATTGAAGAACAACTCCAATTCACTCTCTCACACACTTACCATATTACCAAATTCAGAATAAAAGGAAGCATTCAAAGAACAAAACAAAATCTAATGGGAATACAGGCTGAATGCACAGATTTAAAAGAGAGAATGAGAAAGGGTAAGTTGATAAATATAAATCAAAATCTAACCTTTTGATTTAAAATTTTCTTGCAACCTGTGTATGTTTTGCAATCTAGAAGTCTTCAATGATGAGAAACTTAAAAGAAAATATAAAAATTAAATATTAGAAATGTTAAAGAATCCATGAAGACTTCTAAATTGTTCAACCAGATTTTTTTTTTGGTTTGGATGCACTAGGGAGCAGACATAGGAGCTCCCATACTTGGCAAGGCTTCTATCACTGACCTACATCCCCAGATTCTTTTGGCTTAATATTCCTAAACTAATTTAACTGCAGCTTTATCTTCCATCTCAGTTAACAATACATATCTTGCAGCTCAAACCTGATAGCATTTTGTAATTTTTATTTCTCCTTTTTTTTTCATAAAGAACATAGTCTTGGACAGATAAGAAGCAGTACTGTGAGCAATCCAGATCAATTTCCTCAGCTGTTACTGCCCAAAGACCAAGTTTCAGGCAAAGCAGGACGTTTGATAGAAGAGATTTCTAGTACTGAAATACAGGTGGAGATGAAGATACCAGTCTATGAATTAAAAATTGTGAAGGATCAGAATGAGAAACCTCTGAAAATTGAATTAAAAGTTGAATTACCTGGTATTAATTCAGTGTCTCTCTGTGACCTTAGTGTTTCTGAGGTAAGTTCAGAAGGTAATATGGTAGTCCCTAGATATCCATGGGAGATTGTTTTCATGAACTCCTACAGTTACCTAAATTCAAGGATGCTCAAGTCCCTTATATGAAAATGATATAGTTATATTAAACTTGTATATAACCTATGGGAGTACCCTATGCACATCTTCCTATATACTATCAATCATCCCTAAATAATTTATAAACCTAATACAATGGAAATCCTATGTAAGTAGTTGTGCATTAGCTTTGTTACTATAACAATTTCCTGAAATAATCAACTTTCAAAGAAAAATGATTCATAGTTTCAAAAGGTCCCATCCATGATCATTTGATCCTATTTTAGACTTGTGGTAAGGCAGCACATCATAGCAGGAGCATGTAGCAGAGCAAAACCACTCATCTTATAGTGATAGGGAGAAGAAAGAAAGTACCCAAGGTCCAGTCTGCTTCAGGGGCATGCCTCCAATGACATAAAGACCTGCCACTAGGCCCTATCTTCTAAAGGTTCCACCACCTTACTTCCCACTAGCTGCTTCCCTGGGGAGCAGTCCTTTACACATGAACCTTGGGGGGATACTTAAGATCCAAATTATAGCAAGTAGTTGAACTATCTTGTTTCAGAA